TTTTAAAAAAGCCCACATAGTCTGCAGTGTGACACCTAGACACACTGGTGAAGGGTGGATTAATCAGAAAGGACCTAATACTGGCATTCTCAGGGCTCAGCTGAGCCCTGCGTGGGCTCACAGGATACACCTGTGAACTTCCTCACATCAGGCAAGCTCACCATGGAGCAGAGCCCAACTCTTCCTGAAAAGTCCCATGATGGACAGGGAGAAAAGGTCAGTGCTTGGTCAGGCTTTGCAACAGGTCCTTTTTTGGTGAATATAAGAAGTGTGCTACTATTTCCACTGCCTGTTGAATACCAAAATTTCCATTCTACTTCTTGTTCTTGGTATGTAATCTCTGAGGAAGGGAGGAACCTGAGGAGATTGGAGAAGAGAGGAAATGCAAAGATCCTGATAACAAAAAGGCATCCTTAAACTGGAAACAGAAAGCTGAAAGCTTCAGTACCAATTATGTCAAGCACAAAGCACCAGCCTTACAATGCTGGCACCCTCCCTTACAGAACACAAAGGTGTTCAGATGGAAACTTAAGCTTTGCCACACTTTGGTGCAATGCCTAATCAGCGCAGGGGAGGATGATAAACAGCTGTTGAATCTGCTGTCATTTACAGTATTAAGGAACAAATCTGTATTATTTTCATCTCCTTATAGGAATATTTGTCAAAAGCTCCATCAAATCCCTCTCCAACTCTGTGAGTAGAGGGAGTGATTTTAAAGAACTCCTTCAGAAATAAAACTTCTCTTGAGACAAGGGAATGACTGAGGATTTGGGAGGAAAAAAAGAACAAATGATCTGAGATGTCTGCACACTTAGCCAGAAGTCTCAGGTTGTTTTTAATCCATTGTCTCATTCACTTACCCTTAGAGAAAGCTTCTAACTGGGCCCTGGCTTTCAGAAGCCCCAAAGCAATGAAAACTTGCATGTCTTGCTCAAAGTGCTGCTACTACCTAGCATATGAAAGGTCAGTTTTGGTAGTAAATGGAGGGGAAAAAAAGTAGTACAATAAAAACCATTCCATTTGTGATCTGTTCCCTAGACAGGGGATTTGTCTGAAAGGTATTTTTGTGTGCTATAGGTGCACCTGATAAGTATTACTTTGAAATAATGACCTAAATTTTGTTTCATCATACAGTAATAAAAATAACCAAGAATACTCCTCTCTCATCCGTATGTACCCAGCAGAACCCACTGAGTATAGGAAACACACAAAGGCCACAGGCTCAGTTCTCAACCAGACAGACGAGAGCTGTACATGTCATAAGCCAGTACTTTCCCATACTGTCAGTAAGCCAGCCATCAGATGTGTGTGTATCAGGCATGCCATGGGTGTACATGAATTCCATGCACGTTTTATAGAATCACCCTCTCTCTGTAAATACATATATATATATATATATATGTCAGATAAATTTGCAAAATAACTGCTTTTGGGCAGCTAAAGTTACTTCCATAGTTCATCTCACTCAGCAACTCAGTCATTTTTCCTTGTACCCAGAACAACAAGAAACCTCAATATGCAAGTTGTACCCACAAGCATTGGTGTTGCTTTGCCCTTGGAAGTGTGAGCTTACAGATAAATAAGAGATGTGCAAAATGAATACAGCACTGCTGGCACTTTTTTTTTTTTTGTAGTCCACAAAATTGAAAGAGTAACGTATTGAAGAAACACTTCTGGAAGTACATCACTAAACCTCATGACAGCAAAACCCAGCTCTCCACGTAGCAGCTTCTGCTCTAGCAGCTAGTTTGGAGTATTAGAGCGAGCTGTTATGCACCTGATTTACTCTTGACCCCATGGGCATGTTGTAACTCCCCAAGGGGTTCTTCCTAAATTCCCAGATAGGTAAGAAAAATCTTCTGACTTTTCCAGCAGATAAAGAAATACTATCTGCCTGCTGTTTTTATTGGATGTTGAAGTGTAAAACTCCAGGAGCATCATGACAGAATCCCCACATCTCACAAAAGCCTATTTATGCTCAAAACCACATTTCAAACCAAAAGGAGACATCCTCGGTCCAAAAAAAAAAGATTTTAAGTTGCTTTTGAAATTAGAAAACATTTGACCCTGTAAAACAAAACCAGCACATTATAGAAATACTGAGCATTCACTGTGTAAACGCTCCCTATTCTGCAATCTCAAAAGGCCAAGATTTTATCTGGCTTGGTTAATGTGTTTGGATACAGCTTTACATAATTTGTCTCTGATAGCTACAAGCAATATTAAGTGGAACAGAAATTAGCACTATTAATTAAAGTCA